CCAATTTACCAGCTCGCGCGTGCAATGCGCAGCTACCTACCCCCCCCCCCAATAATCGGTGAACGAAACTGCGGCAGCTGCAACCACTGTACGACGAGTACGCGGTTATTACAGCTGACAATGATGATGATGATGATGATGATGATGATGATGATGATGACGATGATGTGACTGCCAGTTATCGATGGATAATCTCAACCAGAGATTGCGATTCCTTCTGGGATATGCAACTCGATTCTGATCATGCGATGTGCGGACCCGGTTATCACTTCATTTTCCGTCAGCATTACGCGTCACAAAGCAGAGGTGCCTAGCTGCCATGCCACCCGAAGGTTGCACGAGGGTTGGGATACTGCCAGGTTGCACAAGCTTAGACAGGGAAGTCGAGAGGCAGATGTCGGGTTCAAACCACGGATCTTTCGGTCAGTAAATTCGCGCTACAACCACTTGGGCCATCTCGCCCCCTGACAAAGCAGAGGGATTACATTTAGCAAATTCGATAAGTTTCAGCAACTCAAGAGTAACGAGCTAATGCGGCTAGAGCTACTTGAAACGCGTCTTGAGGTCTTGGAGGTTGAACTGAAGCGAACTAAAAAATCTATGCTCCCAGCTTTCAGAACTGTTTGCCCAAGCCATCCGACTCAACTAAATGGACACTGAACGTCGTCGAGAGTAGCAAATCTTATTTCCGCCAGAAACGCCATACCAGCAACTAGCGTACGGACAGCCCTCAAACACCGGTGGGCTGGGAAGGATCCGGTGAAGTTTTTCGCTACAGGAAACGGCAGTGCCCCATTTCAACAGATTCTATCAAACAGTCAGACGGAAAGCCTATTCACTCATAATATTATCCTTAGTGACGGGGTGGGCATTTCAAACAATTCAAGTAGTCGCCTTCAGCACAACCACTGGAAGAACCCTGTGGGTCCGAATGGAACACTAACACTAGCCCGCCGTCAGAAACGGAAATCCAGCGTGATATATCAATCCTTCGAGGCGACAAGGCACTTGCCCCGGATGGTCTGCACCGCGGAATCCTCAAAGGTGATGAGGTCCTGATGGACAGTCTGACCTCCATACTGCAGATTTGGAACGAAAACGGAACACCAGCCGAATGGTATTCCTTGACCGTCATCCCAGTCTTCTTTAAGAACCCAAGAACGTCATGCGAAAACCATCGTGCCATCAACCTGATATCTGTCGCACCTAAGGTGCTTTCTGGCGTTATTTTGCGTAAGCTGTTCTATTATCAAGAGACAGATTCATTGACTATACCTTTACCTTGAGAGAAATTCAATAATAGTCCAATCCCACGTTGGTCATTTATTTCGGTCTAAAAGCTGCCTTTAACTCTGTCCACCGTCAAAAACTTTGGCGGTGTCTGGCGACCAAGTGTTTCTTCAAAACTTATTACCCTTTGCGAACTCCTGTGGACAAAGACGAGTATAGAGCAAGATTTCGCCTGAGTTCACCAAGTCTAGTTACATACAAGGCTGCCCCTACTCACCTTTCCTTTTGGACTTTGCTCATCATCATTATCAGCTGCAAGAACCGCGTACTTGTCGTACAGTGGAGATAGCTGCTTTGAATTTCTCTGCTTACTTCTGAAACCTCGGAAGTTGAAACGCCCCTGGACATCCGCTCACATTGAGTAGGCAAAAGTTATTGTTCTTCTTGGTTTAGATCCTTCAAACATTCAAACCATTTTAAATAACCTACATAACTATGCCGTACGGTTTGGCACGCGCTTCACACCTACAAAGTGTAAAGTGCTGCTACAAGACTGAATGCGGTCAGATCAAAACCTCACGCTTGCAGGCGATTCAGCCGACATGATAGATGAATTTGTTTACCTGGGCAGTTGTGTAAGTTCCTGTGGACTTACTGTAAATGAGATTGCCTCTCGAATAGGGAAGGCCAGGGCATCTTTGGTTAACCTCCGACATCTATGCTGCCGACATCACGTCAGTTTGTCGGTCAAGGATGCAGTGAGATCCAAACCGCTTTATGGATCAGAGACGTGGCCACGCAGAGGACATACGAAATACATCAGCGTTTGGCCATCGGTGTCTCCGATGTATTCGTAACGTCTGGTGAGAACTTCGGATCAGTAATGCCGATGTACGCCAGATGATTCAGGAAGAAGGAACTCTGTCGCGATAAATTACTTATTCACGCTTCATGGGACATAAATTCTACATGATCTTTTTACCTGGCCATGTGCTGAGTAGAGGTGACCGAGAGTTGGACAGTGTATGACCTGTCAAACAAGTATGGAAACACAAACCAGCAAACTGAGTCGGGTCGACAACTGTAGGATCCCTGGATGGGGACCCCGGGACTCAACTCACCTATGTTTAATGACACTGGCAGAGCTGGTCCAATCGGGCAGTCAGTGGCGCTCGTGCACCGCACAGCTACCCAGTTGCTGAACTAAATGAATGCGCCCTCGCCTTCAATGCTTGGCTTTTCGCACTTTCAGGTGATCAAAACTATAGCATCTGGAACTAATCTACCCATTTTACATGGTTGACTGATGGAATTTAAGTTAGTATATGCATACAGCATAGCAACAGTACCGATGAGAATTGAATGTAATGGATTCGGAAGATTGGATAAAGGAGTGAATGATATTTAAAACCTCCCGGGTAAAAATTCATCTTCGCCACAAGCCGTATTGTCTTGTGGTACTCATTTGAGCTTGACCGAATCGCCCGAAAATGATCAATAGCACTCACCTCCTCTGGATCGAAGTCGCTATACAGATCCATCATGTTGCAAGTGTACATATCGGTAAAGAGTATGCAAGAACTAAATACCTGCGGTAACCACCATGGCCGAAAGGAAGTGCTTCACTGAATGCTCACAAAAGTGCTTAGAACAACTTAATACTATCGCCGTGTAGAAAAGATGCTGAGTTGTTGCCAACTGCACCGATAGCGAGAAAACACCATCGAGCAGACGTTTTGCTAACCCCATATGCTTCCTCCAAGAATGGACTGTTGGATGTCTATCTGTCCCCTAGACTTTTGCGTGTGAGCGAGTCTACGTCTTTTGACTAAGTCGACTATGTTGTAACCCATCCGAAAACAAATAAGAAATTCAATCCAGTCTTTAAGTTTATCTGTATGTCAAAGCTGCACACAAATCTGAAAACAAACCAAGTTTACACACACAGAGGTGAAGCAAGAAGCGCATGAGACAGGGGTCCTACAAGGAGAGACGAGAACGCGTTCCTTGTTGTGCTTGATCTAGGGAAGCAACTAGAATTGGCTGACAGCATGAAGAACTCACCTCTTAGGATACCCTTTTTGGGGGTCGTTTTTGCAGTTGGAGTCATGGAAAGTCGTTGTGAGGCTATGAACCCTAGACAGAGGTGATGAAAGGATGAAAGATTGAAATGATTCACTTTTTCGAAACACCTTTCCAAATGAAACTCGTCGTTTTGCTTTGTCAACGCTATCCACGGGTGTGGAAACTGAGCACGTCGTTTGATGGGGAGTTTTTGAGATGTGTTCATTCACTGGATCTGAAGTTGACATTGGGACATCGGTAGTTTGCGAAATTTCCTCGCTCTTTGATGCACACTGTGGCAGTTGGGCAATCTCATTATTCGAGCTGTTACGGACCATAGACGGTTCACCCTAAAAATAAACTAGTCTAGAAATGGACGCGTACCACATCAGGAAAACTTCCCGGCGGGTCATTGGCACAATCAGCAGCGGTAGAAATATCGACAACTGACTGATTCTATTCGGGAATTGTGTACCAACGACTGATTACCTCTGAAGAGTTTTCCATTAAACGACGCTTTTTATGAGCTGTTTTCCCCTTCTGCGAAGTTTTCCTCCGCTTCTAAAAAACACATCCAGCGGTAGATGCAACTTTTACCTTTGACTCCTTTTGAGAAGAAGACAAAGTAACCGGGACTGTACAATCCGATGGAGAAAATGAAACTTCGACGGAGCAATTCTAGAAGGAACGGGGCAAAAGAATCACCGAACTAGACCTACTGTATCGGTAAGCGGGGTAGCTCCAGAGGCAGCTGATTTTGAGTCACGCCCCTGTCTCTTTTTCTTCTCTACAATCGAGTGAACTCTGGAAAGCTGTGAAATCAGGGGAGCGAACTCACATCGTAGCTATGCGCTGAAGGGATTTGAAATGTGTGCCACGCTGCGAAATGAGTGAAGTTAGTTTGTCTTCAAGTTGTGTCGTGTCCGGCTAAACCGTTACTAATAGTGTCTAGGACCTAATGGGCACTTACCTTCGAATGTCTTCGTAGCGTGCTCAACAAGGTATGGATGACTCGAAGGAAGTTATGTGCATACGCGTGATGTCTAAAAGCATGACTGAGAAAGAAGGGGGTACCTGGGCAGCTCCACTAGACGGGAGACCAAATGCACTAATGTCAACACGACACAGAATGCTTTGATCTTCTATGAACACGGTTACAGCAGCTAGTTTGTGAAGCAACTCCTACCTTTTTAGGCAGCTCTTCACTCAATACAGTGCACATGTGCATTTTCAAGCCAACGGCGTGTTGAATATCAGCATTGAGGATTTTGTCAAACACTGCCTCTAATACATGATTCCACACTTCGCGATCGACAGGGACTAGACTGTGTAAGGCCTGGGTGAAAAAATCACGAGTAAGCTGGAAAGAAGACGCGTAGATATTATTTGACAAAAGGGAAATCCAACCAGCATAAATTTATCCAATCGCCAGTTGTCCAAACGATCCCATTCACGAGCCAAGGTCTCAAACATGGCGTTGATGTAGTGTAAGCGCATGGTTGGATGTGGAATCAACGGCAGTATGTGACATATTCGGCGAACTACCTCCTCCTAAGCAGCGATAATATCCAAGCATCGCTTGAACTCACCTTCAACAACAGTTTGTCTTGCATCCATAGCGTGTAATGCAAACCTTTGCAGATGGCCAACATTTCCCCGTAAGTGGGTAGAGCTGTAAACCAAGTTTAGACAGTGAGATGGGTTGTTACCTAAAAATGACCAAGTTACTAGACGGCTGACTGAATTAGACGTAAACTGGTCGTTGTTTGTTCAGAAATGCTAAGTTCGCTGCATGTATCTGTTCCTAATTGAGTTCGGAAGGGAAGGTTGTGCGCTGTAAGTTACTGATTCACTGTAAACTGGGTGAGAACACAATGATGCGTGAGAAATGAACAGTTGCTTAATCTGGATACTATCTGGTCAGCAGACATAGGTCGAGAGGGCTTGGATCATAGTTTTAGGGTACTGAAAGCAAGTAATTTGAGCAAACTATGACAATGAGGCTGAGATAAAACAATGAAGGGTTCTTGTTAAACTCCGTTCATTTCTAACAAAAGATATTTGATCTTACTTGTAATGTGTCGCCCCATAGTTCACGTCTATTCTCACAGCGATTGTGAGAGACTTTACAGTGATCCTAGATTCTTCGAATGCCTGGAGAATCAGTGCTTCGGATTTTCAATTATCAAGATTCCAAAATGTAACTCCAGCAACGCAGACCCCGATTTAGTGACTATAAATGTTATCCATACCGGGCTACTGCGACTGTTTCTCATACACAATCATGGAAACAGCAACAGTCGAAATAACCGACTAAGTCAGTCCTATCTTCCATACTTAACTGTCATAACGATAACTGTTACGATACCATCTCAACTAGGCCGTTTGCACATGACTGACCGAGATTGCTTCTTACAAATAAGTTGTTTCACTAGAATAGGGGAGCTTACTATAACCAAACTATGCAATGTCATCATCTGGTGCATGTTACTTTCTCGAAAGACTGTTTAAGATTCGGCATTCGATGGCCGGATATAGGCAACCCATACCTGATCACAGGGTATCACCATGAAGTGATGGCCAGGCTTCAACACAACAATGAACTCATGGACCAAAGCGGCGGGAATTCCGTTGTATCAAGGTTCAGCCGTGACAAGAAGCCCAATCCCCGAACTGCTATTCGATAAGTATGAAGGCAGATAACAAGCACATCCGTCATTACGGAATCAGCGACGATACCTCCCCTAAAGGAATGGCTGGTTAGAAAACGTAGGCCTTCAAAACAGCGACATCCGGGTGACCAGCGATCAACTATGCGCACATACAAACTATTGGATGCGATCCAAAAGCCGTTAAAACCTATCAGAGGCCCGAAGTGGGTCACAACGCGTCTGCTTTATACAAGGGTGCCAGCAGTGAAATACCCCAACCCAATCATTGTCTCCCGCAATTAAGCTGAACAATCTGTTCACCCTTGCTGTATGGACAAGGTTCCACTTCCTTGGATGGGAACCAAAGGATGAAGATGGGATACCTAAAAAATTTCTGGATCTGATAAATCAATAAGAACGATTCACTCTACTCCGATTAAAATTACCACCGAGAAGAACAAACCAGGGTCCTCCTGCCAAACTTCGAAGATGTGCATTGCAGCTTTTAATGTCCATACTCTGTCAAAACGAGCAGCAGATGGAACTTTGTTGGTTTGTTGACCGAGCTTCGCAGTTGGATTGATGGAACTTTGCCCATTTCTCTTTTTGTAGCTGTACTCCCGAATCACGCACTTAAAACCCAATATTCAAAACACTGCTTTTCGGAGATGAGATAGCTCAGTGATTAGAAGGCGAATTTACTGAACGCGAATCGCGCACACCTCGCTTAGCCATGAACGCGAATCACACCTCGCTTAGCCATTGAGAAGCTAGTTGACCCAGAAACCAAACGAAACTATCAGAAACAGCTCCTCGAATGTCTGCCTGCCGGTACGGTGTCGGATACAAACAGCATCCAAGCATTGGATCTCTGATAGAACCGTGTCTTTTCTGGAGACCCGGCGACAGATCCCACCTGGTCGCCATCACAACTCCACTCGGCGCATCATCCGGCACCAGGTGAAACTGAGTGTCCACGCAGACCGAGAAGCTTGGTGGACCAGAAAGGTCGAAGAAATGGAAGATGCAAAGAATGCTGGAAACGTGCCCAAATTGTTCCACTTGATTCGTTCGACTGGTCCTCGGAAACCTCTTGTCAGTGAAACAATCAGGGACCAAAATGGCTCCCTGATATGCGGCAAAGCAGAACGTTTGGACCGCTGGGCACAGTACTTCGAACAGCAATTCAGCTGGCCACCTGCTACCCCCAATCCAGAAACCCGGCCTCCAACAGAAAGGTGGACCGTAAATATGGAGCCGCCTTCAGTCTCAGAAGTGTCCGAATGCATTTCTCTACTCAAGCGTCATCGCGCTGCTGGTCCTGATGACCTTCCACCTGCTCTTTTCAAGGATGGCAATGCGTTCCTCAGTCAGTGCCTGTCTAGCCTATTTGGGTGTATCTGGGAGAAGGAGACCGTCCCAGACAACTGGGGTTCGGGATACATGCGATAGGCCTGCATCATGTTTCTTCTCTCATCCACTTTTTATACTAAGACTTCAAATATAATTGGCGAAAAATTTTGTGGTTTTATGGTGGTGAAGCATTATTGCCAAAAATGATATTGTTCCCTATTATTATTATGATGATGATGATGATATGGACAGGTGACACATAATGGAATGGTTTGTACATAGCGCACACGTGTCCCTCGGTGCCGTGGACAGACTGGAGGTGAGCAGTGTGTGGATGGTGGCCTTGACGACAAAAATCTCTGTTTAACAGAAAGCATGCATATGAGTCATGATTTAAAGTGAATAACCAAGGACGTCAAACTCTGAAATGGTCAGGTTGGGTTTATTTGAACCAGCCTTATCGGCGTTTCCTCTAGCATGTAACACAAATTTTTGAGATTGCCAGATGAAAAGTGGAAAAATCGAGCGTGTTAGTTTGAAAAAGTTGAACAAAATCATTAAAAATCCAAGGACACAGTACTATTGACGAACATTTACAAAAAGATATCGACCTCTAAGATGGGGTATTCTCTGAAAGCCACTAAAGACACACCTAATTTCTGTAGTTTCACGTTTATACTCATCCAAGATCTTTGAAAATAGACTCTAACATACCCTCATTTCTGACGCGGTGGAACCGATCAACATGTGGGACTTGGCATTCCATACATCCACCTGAAGCGTCTTATGGAGAAGGTACTCGAAAACCTCCTCATACTCCCCCGAATTCATCCAGTTGGGATTCATGGTGAAAGTGACCTTTGTAAAGATGGGGTGTGATAAGAGGACAGTGTTGAAAAGATGCTCCAAAGGGTGTTGGGATATCTTAAACAACTGAAACAGTTCAAAATACACCGGTTCTCCCGCATATTTCATAAAAAAAGCCTCAACAACAGATGTCTCCGCAGCGTTTCACTTGGTTGTGGTCGGAACGCAACCCAATTATTCGTTCCAGGTTACAGAACGCAGCAGCCCACTTAGGAAGACACTGCAGTCTCAGAAAATATAGGTCCACAGACGCGCTTCATACTTTCAGTGTGCATGAAAATTGACAGATATCTCATTCGGACTTGAAACAGAGTTTCACCGGCAGACGTGACACACTACTCTTAAGGCAGCTGCGAACTCTTCGACAGCCCACTATCGGTTTGGTCCTTCTTGGGGCTCATCGAATAGGCAGTCTCTGAGTTCTTGCCGAACCATGTTCTGCTTGAACCCAAATTTCATGAAGAAGAACATCATAACAGAGCGATTTATGTAAGTCTCTCGTGAAAACACAATTGGTATGCAAATGAGTGCAGTTATCGTTATCGCTAAATTTTTTTATGCGGAGCGAATGTACTGAGGTTTTTGAATGGGGAAATTGACGCGACAGGCCCTCACTGTGCTGCAGGCAACTGAATCCGGGAAAACATTCAGAATCATCGACTACGATGGCTCGGTCATGTGCTACGCATGCCGAAATACCGTCTACCGAGACGAGTATTGTTCTCCGTGCCTTCTTCAGGATGGCGAAAACCGCGAGGTGGACAGCACACGACCTGGCAGAAAGCTGTGAAAGAGATCACGAAGGGTTTGGGTGTTGTTAGTATGGTGAGACTTCCAGGATGGGGTCCCCGTGACCCCATCTGTGCTTGGCTGGAGACGTTGCAAGAAATGGCGGCTAATCGATGTCAGTGGCGTTCTTGCTGTCAGTTTCTTTCCAGATTGTCTGGTTGAGCGTTTGGAGGTGTAGGCACCTCAGTATGCTTGACATAGGCCAGCACTAGGTCTCCTCCCTCACCCACTCTTTTTCCCTTCTTTTCAACCTAGGGCTTTTAATATATATATAGACAAACCTTATGGTTGTACGGCAGTGAAGCATTAGTGCCAACACTGATGTTGCTGTCTTTGGTGATGATGATGAAGATGATGATGATGTCAGCAGGGCATTTGCATGGGTTCTGGTAGAGATGTGAGAATCACGCTGCTGCTGCATACAGTAGATACATTTGGTGATAGTTCGGACTCCACGTGAATGTCAGCAGTTTCTAGACCATATTGGATTATTCACCCATCATGCATTAAGACTGCTAGCACCGAGGGAATGCTGAGCTGTCGGGAAGTCCTTCTCGGGTCTTATAGGTGTAAAATGAGGAACAAAGTTGCAGCAAGTACATCCACACCATATCGATGTTTCAGCTGTTAGTCGGACTTTCTATGTACGCTTTCCATCACTGGGACGACGTTTCTCCTACTAAGTTGCTGAGAGCTGCAAAAGTTACGTTTTCCCCAAAGGTCAACCAGATAAAATAAAATGCGATTGTTCCGTGTCACAATCAACGACCCAACACTGCTCCTAGTCCTTCCCGAGAAAACTCACCTTTGGCGTCTCAGGTGATTATCACATTCATTGTGGTTGTTAACTGTCGGTAGAAGTTGCTAACCCCAAACAAATCTTAAGAGTATCACTAAAAAGATTCAGCGGGGTTCCAGGTGAGTTCCCCGTTGGAACCGAATTGATAAGCAGATGAATGTATATGTCGAAATCCTAAGTTCCTTTGAAGGTGTTGTAGAAACTGGACGGAGAGTTAGACTACCCACAGCTAGTTCTTCTTAATATTGCAATCATCGTGCTCATGAGCACTGCGCGAAATTCGTCATAATCATGATAGTTTTGGATGGTTACGTATCTTACGAAGTGATACATCGATACAACTTTAGTCAACCTGATGATGGAAAGTAAGTCGCCAATGTACAAGTAAAACAGCATGGTTGGATGTAAGTTGCATGACCCAGAAAGAACAAGCATCAATTGTAACTGTCAACGGGTGGACAAGTGTTGCCTGGTTCAAGGTGTTTGTTGGCCTTTCTAAATCGAAAATTCGAGCTGGATTCTCAGCTTGTCGAAAAAAAATACTTGAGCTGGTTACAGTGGCCGGTGGATTGCATGAAAGATGACATGCATAGCGAATTACAGATGAAACAGGTTTCGTTATTATTAAACACTCACTGACCGAACACCACAACTTACCTGTGTCATCTTTAGTCTGGCTGCACAGTATGTTCTCCACTTCAAACTGTGCCCTTTTTCTTATTTTCATCTGATCAGATGCTAGCGCCTTCGCCAAAGCAGGTATTCCCTTCATATCGTACAGTGTAGAATGAATCCGAAAAAATCCAGCAGTAGTGTAGTCCAATTGTGGTGCTATTTTGCTGCCAAAGAATAAAGGGAATTCAAGTAATAAAAATAGTAGCAATCAGTGCAGCCAGCAAGTAAATATTTTACAGTCCAATTATCAATATTGGTGGTTAGCTGCTGTAGGAACTTGTACCCTCTAACGAAAACGTCAGACCAATCAGGGAGGACCACATTCAAGAAGCCAACTTGGGTTGGCCCTCTGAACCCTGATTAAATATCAGCGCCCAAATCTCTCTTGAGTCCACAACATCCAAAAGTGTCAAACAAGGGTGTCCTCTGCCACCCTTACTCTAACTTCGCGGTCGATTTGTTTGAAGCTTCCTTACCTACCTCGGGGATCTAAATACTCCCGCAGTTCGCTCACAGACACTGAATACACCAAGGATATTGCTTTCCTCGGATCGGACCCTCAACTCTACTGCACAGCTCGATGTGAGCTTTCCACCTGTGGAGTGTAATACTGCTGTAAGACTGGGTGGAATCAAGCTCAACACCTATGCTTCCAAGTGATCAAATCGATGTGGTAGGTAAAATCAAACATCGGGGCAAGTGCATAAGTCTAGGTGGACTTCTGAAAGACTAAATAACTTCCGTTGGGAAGCCGAGACATTGTTTGCCAACCTCCGACATCTACGGCGGCGAGTTGACGTCAGCTCGACTGTCAAGGGTAGGGTTCAAGGTGCCGCGGTTCGATCTACGGATCAGAGACATGACCACTACATGCGGAAGATCTTCGAAGACACTCTATGTCGGTGCCTCTGAAGCATTGTGTGGGTCTGTTGAAGTACACCAGATGGTCTTCTTGGAAACCCACTCTCACTCAGTAGATTAGCTAGTCACACTTCACAGGCTACGCTGGTTTGGCTATGAACTTCATACGCCAAAGGACCGTTTATCTCGTATAGCCCTCTTTGCCGAAGCTTTGTGTCAAATGGGAACAACAGAGGGACGATCCGGTCAGCAAATTACAGCAAAGCATGAAGGCCTTAACCAGTCAGCTCAGTCGCACGACGGAACAACACATTGGTTGACCATCCTGACGATATGGCTATGTCACGCAGCCAATGGCGGTGCTGCACTAAATCTATCGTCATCACTGCGCAGCCCGCATTTGTTTGCATACCATCATCATCATCATCAACCACAGCATGACATCAGTGCTCAACACCAATGCTTCACTGCCGTACAGCCATGACTTATTTGAAAGCCTTATTGTAAAGAAAAGAATAAAGGTGGATGGGGG